TATATGTTACTTTACAAAGTCTATAGGAAATTACAAGAAATCTGACTTTTTCCTGATGACAACCTGTATCCACACTCCTTCCAAGTTCTACAAACTCTGCTCACAGTAGCACACCAAATCCTTCCAAGCACTACAATACTCTTTTGTCAGGTACTTTACAACAGACAAACAATACAGCTTATACATTAGTTCCTACTACTAAAAGTATGTAACAAGCCTCTTACAAGAATACAGACTCAACATAGACAGACTACAACATCCAGAAGGAGTTGGATCCCTGGTACATATGTAGAATATTACTGTTATGTTCCCTCATTCATTTTATTAGTGAAAATATATGTTACCCTATGTATTATTTTGTACTATCTATCAATAACACTCTGTCAGATTACAACATTCATGATTTAAACATTTATTGAGTCATTTTTATTGATTTATTATGTTTTTACAACAACTTCACCATATAATGATCCACAAGTATATTATATAATTGAGGAGATCCTTATATAATGCAGTAAATCATTATTTAACTATGTACATCATTATATAACTCAGGGTCATCCCTAATAAGGTCGTGGGAGTCAGGGTCTGGATGCGGAAAAGACGCGACTTGCCTCCATCCTTTCATCACTAATTATATAATAAGCGTGTCTCAAACATAACACAGCAAGCGTCGCCGGTCTGTCAGTGTCATGCCACCTCCGCTTGCTCTGAGGTTTTTCCGGGAACGCGCATCGTTCCCAGAGCCAAGAAAAGTTGATGCGACATCGAACCATTCCACCAGCACGCTCAAGAAATTGAAAGTCGAGGGCATGGTGGACGTTCCAGTATTCGCGTTCAAGGAAGCGGATAGATTCGATCGATACATCGAGGTCCTTGAGAACCGCCTAAGGGAAGACGACATGCGACTCCGCCTTAGAGGTTATCCCAACGCATCAGACAACGAAGTTGAAGCCGCGTTTGCGAGACAATTCGGACCTATGAGTGAATACGATGTCATATCCGATCCGTTCATTGCCGTTCATTCTGAAGGCGACGTGAGTCCCTTATGCTTTGATTTTCGCGTTGATAATTGCTCACCGAACATTCTAGTTGATGAATTGCTGGCGCAATGGGCCGGTGAAAGCTGTGAGGTTCTCGGGATACCATTTGTTCGGTATAGATATTAGGACCTACGATCAACCTCCCCTGCCGAGGAGGGAAAGGTTGAAGAATAAGGCGAAGACGGACTTCGCCACGAAAGTTGGTCCGATTATCCTGCACATTACGGAAGGGAAGGCCATCGGTGTCCTGAATCTTGCTGCATCGACTCTCGACTACGAACCGAGCTTCACGATCGACTTGGAAAACAATTCGACGATCGGTCGGGCCGTTATTAACAACGTTCGTTTATTTATCCGCCGAGTCATCGAGGAAGCTGATGTGAAAGACTAGTTAATATGGTACATGCTCAAGTATGGTGCCTGGATCGCAGTCTTGTCGGACTATTTCCGCACTTATATCTTCGAGTTGCATATACACGAAGATAAACGTTACATCTCGTATGCGGGTCCCGAGGCTATCAATGGGACCAAGGTCTTCCGGGCATTGTTGGGCATAGCTTTGGCCAGAGCCAACATCATTCCACGTCCTACTGCCCCCGATATCGAGAAGCAGATACGTTTGCATAAGAACAGGCTGCGTCGGACCAATACCGAGGTTTTCGATGCAGAGCAGACGCAAACGCAGGGTCTCAGCCAGGAAGGCAGCGTTGTTATAACTACGCACTACGACATGAATTTAGACGAGTGGATTGGTATAGACGACTTCGGCGAGCAAAATCTCTGGGAAGGCGAAAACGAAGCCAAAGAGGAAGATGAAGAGGAAGATGAAGACGTGGAGGGAATGGATACCGGGGGGAAGAAGGACGATGGAAATGGAAAGGACGATGGACACGGCAGCGGAAACAGGCACGGCAGCGGAAGTGGCCAGGGAGGTGGCAGTGATGGTGGTTCGGGATCGGCTCCAAGTAGGAAGCGTAGCCGCAAACGCGATGAAGATACCAATCCGAGGAATAAACGAGGCCCCGGAAGTGCTTACTCCGATGCAGGCAGTACTCAGACGTCTGGGCGCGAGGATGCTACCTCAATACTCGGTGTGGGAAGGCCTCTGGTGAACAAGACTCTGCACGGTGGTTCGTTTGGGGAGCGTTCCGCCAACAAGACCAATAAACTTGCGAGGCATTTGTCCAAACGACTCTCGATCAAGGCAAATCAGCATCCGCAGAACAGTTTGGTCGTGGTGAGTTTCCTCACTTTCGGTCCGTAGTGCAGAGCTAACGTTTTACAGACGGTTGCCAATCTACCATGCTTCGATAACGATTTCTATCGCAGCGCAGACCTAGAGCGCTATCAGGAGAGGCAGAGTTTCCCGTCACTACCGACATTCGATGCAGTGCCTGCGTTACAAGTAACGGAACTTGCAGGAAGTGGAGGCACGGGCATCACCTACAAAGCAACGCTCGCGAATTCTTTTGATAGGACCCGGACCGAATTTGCTATCAAGGTGGTGGATGCCGATTTGCGAGACTCGGAGGAATACGAGAACTGCTGTGACGAATTGAGGGCCGAGTACGTGAACTATTGCGTGTTGCAGAAGGTCGCGCAACGCGAAAATTACGCGAGTATAATTGCTCGTCATGTCCCAAAATGCTACGGATTGTATCAGGTCTCGGGTG